TGAGACTTGTGTTCTGGACTTAACTGGCTGGGCTAGGCGGAAAGCAGGACCAATCAGGAATCTAGGCGGCTCGCACGTGTTTTACGCGTTATTGATCCGATCGATAAGTGAGCGCACAATAATCGACGGTCACAAGTTATAACAATATGGTGGTCGGAGTAGTTCGGTAGAGATTCCCAATGGAGAAGCAAGTGTGTGTGTGTGTGTTGTGTGTGTGAGTGAGTGTGAGTGTGTGTGTGTGTGTGCACAGAGCCGCGTCTCCATTTATGTCTGGTTGATTGACTGAGTGATTGATTGTTTGTGTGTGCGTGTGCGTGTGTGCGATTGTGTGAGAGGATGTTGAGTGTGGCTTGGTGTTAGTTGTAGGGTGTATGATGATTGAGATGGTGTTTTTTCAGAGTGAGTGTGCATGTGTGTTGTGTGAGGTTGTTTTGATGAGTGTGACAAGCGGCGCCGACCAGTCGAGCCCGGTTAGCTCAGTCGGTAGAGCATCAGACTTTTAATCTGAGGGTCGGGGGTTCGAGCCCCCCATCGGGCGCAACGGCTTTTGACCAAACAATACTCACCCTCCTCGTACAGTGGTACGTAGCGACTGCACACACCTACAGTCAGTCTGTCGCATTCAGTCTGCCACATTCATAAGTCTTATTATGTTCTTCTTTATTTTCTTGATATATATGTTTTTCAGGTTACGTGTTTTAATCGAGTATTTTGTTGTTGGAATATGATAGGATTAGGATTGTGAATATGTTGTATATACAGTACTTCGTACGGCGTCATCTGAATCAACGTTTTTATTCTATTTTCTAAATATATCTTTATGTGTGCGAGATAATAAATGATATACTGTTTATAACTCAATAATATTAAATCTTAGAATGAATATTCTTAAATCAAAATATATTTTGTGAGTATAGGAACACGAATATGAATAGTTTAGTTACTTAACAATCCTACAATCAAAGTATATTTATAGTAATAATCCGAAAATAGATTCCATCATTTACCATTCATTATTTTCATCGGGTTATCACATAAGTTACGCTATCTGTTTCTATAAAATTGGTTATTTCAAGTGAAATATTAGCCTACCTAACTAACATCCCACTTTATAATGTTGATCAAACGGAACAAAAGTAAAGCGTTAAAATTTTATAATTTAATAATTTTCCTATGAATATTGTTAAAAATGTTGTAAAATGAAGTAATTCATTATCAAGTAATAGTTGAAATGAAATACCGTAAATCGGTACCGTAACTCTACTACAATAGAAGAATGCCAATGATTCTTAAAACAATATAGAATTAAAGTATATATTACAAAACAACTAGCATAATTCTAATTGTTTTTGTTCCTATAAAGAATAAGATACCTTTTATGTCAACACAGAATTGAGTATACAAATTAGAATGTGTGATTTGTGATACCTTCTATATTGAAGAATCATGCCATGAAATCTCAACTCGAGCCAAAGAACATCTTAGGTACAAATATAAACTACTTAATAATCCTTTGAAACTTAAAAGACTGAAAATTAGATCAACAATAGAAGTAAACATCAATTACAATAAGCATCAAATCGATATTTAAAATTATTTAATTAAAAAACCCAAAATACTCTTTCAAATGATAAAACGTTCCTACTTTAAATAGAAAATAAGGTCTTATTGACTATCTGACTTGGACCATCTATCTAAGCTACCAAATCTGATTGTATTCACATTTTATATCATTGTTATATATATATAAAACTCAATTCCACATTTTCACATTTTTCATACATGTTAATATTATACAACACAAATACATACAATTATAACGTCATATACAATCTAATTTGATTGAAGTAATATGTTATTGACTTGTTTAGATCTATTTTTAGTTGTACTGAATATCTTTACTTTGTTTAACTTAAACTTTGGTTCATTTGATTTATTGATTTGTTGATTCATTGAAGAATTGGCTTAAATTGAACCATGAAACTGTAGAAAATTTTGTTATTTATTTATTTATTGAGGTATTATCAAAAGGGGTTTTGTGGAGATTTTAGTAATTTCAATAGTTAAAGTCATGTGTCAATTTAAGCTAGACCACTATGGAAAACCTGTTGTAAGCACTGGACGGTCGTTTCGTCCTAGTATAGGACTCCTCAGCAGTGCATGTCCAAGATCTCACCCCCCTCGAGATTCGAACTCAGGAGCTATCAGTCTCGCGTGCGAGACTGGTTTCTTATCAACTACATACAATTAATACCGGTGTCAAGCAAGGTCGCTTATTCTCACCCTTTCTCTTTCTCCTGCTGATCGATTGGATCATGAAGATGTCAACATCTGAAGGGAAGCACTGGATACAGTGCACATCTAGGATGCAAATGGACGATCTCGACTTCACAGATGATCTGGTTCTTCTATCGCAAAGGCAACAACAAATGCAGGAGAAGACGACCAGTGTAGCAGCAGCCTCAGCAGCAGTAGGTCCCAATATACACAAAGGGAAAAGCAAGACTCTCCGATATAATACAGCATGCACCAATCCAATCACAATTGACGGAGAAGATTTGGAAGATGTAAAAACCTTTACATATTTGGCCAGCATCATTGATGAAGAGGGTGGATCTGATGCAGATGTGAAGGCGCGGATCGGGAAAGCAAGAGCAGCATATTTACAACTCAAGAACACCTGGAACTCAAAACAACTGTCAATCAACACCAAGGTCAGAATTTTCAATACAAATGTCAAGACAGTTCTACTGTATGTTATGGAAGCTTGGAGAACTACGAAAGCCATCATCCAGAAGATACAGGTGTTTGTTAACAGTTGTCTACGCGAAATACTTCGGATCCGTTGGCTGGACACTATTAGCAACAACGTACTGTGGGAGAGAACAAACCAGATCCCAGCGAAGGAAGAAATCAGGAAGAAGCGCTGGAAGTGGATAGGACACACATTGAGGAAAACACCCAACTGCGTGACATGACAAGCCCTCAACTGAAATCCTCAATGCCAAAGGAAAAGAGGAAGACTAAAGAACACATTACGCCGGGAAATGGAGATAGAAATGAGAAAAATGAAAAAGAATTAGAGAGTGGATTGGAGAATGCTGGTCGGTGGCCTATGCTCCATTGTGAGTAACAGGCGTAAGTAAGTAAGTAATGAGTGTGAAAAAATCTAAAAGTGACGTTTAATTTGGACATTTCGGATAAAGAAAACTAAGAGCATAGAATCGAAATTGTTTAGAGATAAAATGAAAGATCAATTTTATGTGAATCTTCCCATTGATGTTTTTTTAGGACTGAAATTGATCAGTCTCTTATTGGCATATGTGCATACTGTGCGTATGCCTCGATATTGCCTTAATTTACAAGCATCATAAGCAAAGATGGATAGTGGCTAGCAGTGGAATCCAGGACGCGCGTCTCGTCCTGTTTGGGACTCGTCAGCTGGATGTACCTGCATCTCAGAGTTGATGTTCACTCTGGGACTCGAACTCAGTACCGTTCGCTTCAAACGCCATCGCGTTATCCACTTAGCTACTGAGTCCTGATAGCCACTTGCTTGTGCAATGGGGTGAAGTTTTTCACTTGATGTTGTTTTTACCTTAATCTTCCCATTGATGTTTTTTTTTAGGACTGACATTGATCAGTTTTATGGTCGTATATTATATGAAGTTATTACCTAAACTTTATAGTGATGATGTCGTTCAGAAGAACCGTGAAAGTTCTACGATCGAATCTTCCAGCTCAGAGAACAAAACTCCATGAAAACATAAAATAATATGGACTAGCTGAGTACAAATGAGATATGTAGTAGTGTCATAGGAAAAAAAGTGTAACAAATGTATGTAAATAAAGTCATCATAACAAAGCAAAAGTGATATTGAATCTTCTTAATCTATTCATATAAACCGCTTCAGCAAAAGATAGCAAATTTGACTTCGATCGTTTATTAATTAATATGAAAGTATTTGAGACGTCAATATCAAGTTCACCGCCAAGAAAGTAGCATGGTTAAAAATATTTTTCCTTTTTAGTCTAAGCTATTGTGAAATATACACAGAGATACTTAATCTGTTACATTGTCATGGATCTATTTCAAGTTAAATAAGTCTAAACTAAATTATAGTCACTCTCTATAATTAATAACTTCAATTGTCATGTAGAAACTCTTGTATATTGTGTAAAACAATAATCTATTTGACGAAAAATGTACATAGAAAAATTACTGTAGATCACCAACGTAGATGATCTATGTCGAATGATTGGAGGCCTATTAGAGTTAAACGGGAATGGTGTGACGAACCAGCTTACGTCAAAGTCACACCTCGCGGTCAGCACCTTATGTGGACTGCCCCATAGACGTATCAAGGTACTATAGATGCTTTAAAGACTTTACAACGCAAAAGACGTTATTACAGAAATAAATTAGTTAAAGTAGATACAAGCGAAAGTAAGACCACCACCGTATGTGCCAGTCCATGGCGTACGATTAACTGATGCACGTTGGTCGTCCTTGACCTTGACAGGGATCGATGATCGGTTCGATATTCAGTAACCCAACCACTGGATGATTTGGCTAGGGCTTAGTGGTATTTCACTGAATTATCACGATAACTTGATAGTCTATTTCATCTAATTGACAGTGATATCTTTTAGTTCAATCAGAATAGTACTTTGACAATTTCCTTTAATATTTCTAACACCATTTGGAATACAAAGATCGTTGTTTTATTAAAATAAATTATACAATGAAATTAATAAAAGTTCACATTATAAATCATTTGATTCATGAAACTAAAGTATTAGGTTAATTCATATGTGCAATCAAAATGGTAACATTAAATTTCATGTTCAATATGTAACACTAACCTTATTTATTAACAAGTAGGATTGGATATTAAACAAGTCATTATTATTACTGACCTTGAATAAAAACCAATCAGCAATAGATAGTCAGCTTTAAAAGACATTAGAAAGACAGTTATTGTTTGTTTGTTTGGTTGGTTGGAGTTTTTTTTTACCTTACATAACAAAACAAAATTTCAGATAGTGAATTATTTAACCTTTATGTTGGATACAATATCGGACTTATCACAATTCAATTCTTTCTGTTACCAAGTTAGATAACTTTGCTTTTATAATAAAATTCTATCTTGTATACCTATGTAAGTGTGGATTATCCATGAACAAATATCATTTATTTATTTATTGAAACATATAAACATTGGTACAAGGAGGCACAAAAAATAGATATGTGCCACATAAGTCACTTGATTTGTGTGTGGGATGTAATACTACCTCGGTACCCAGATCGAGGAAAGTGGTTTTATTAGGGGACTACAACTGGAGTCTTCGACCTAAAGGTATAATCCACACGGCAGTGGAGCAACTTTGGGAGATGGAGTCCCATAGTGGCCGGTAGCCAATGATTGGTTCATACTCCATTTGTTCCTTCAGGATTCTGGAGCCCATGTGTACCATTGGTTTGGAATCAGTGTCTCCCAACTCTCCTAAGTATGGACTCTGTGTCCACCAGCCCGGTTAATGCATCAGACATTCTCTTTTCATCCTTTCAATTTCATAAGATTTATTCATTAGTTTAAAAAGTCATATTGGTAAATAGTTTTAAACTAGTTTATGTCAATTTAAAACTGAGAAATGAATTTTACTATGATTATTATTAATGCTTGAATAATCTCATTTTGAATATTGTGAACTGAATTTTGTCTGAATTTATATATATATCCATCCAATACGGAGATTCTCAATATAGAAATAATGTAACAAGACTTATAGAATATTGCCAAACACACAAATGAAACAGGTCATAAGATTGATCTTAACTCGTCATTTGTAGTGTTGTACAAAAGTGTAAAAAGGCATATACTACGGTTTATTGAAGCCTTAACCGTACGAAAACTCAACCCCCCTATATCTATTCAAAAGCAGTTTGTACTCAAATTAAACTTACCCTGGTAATATTAGCTTATTATTTAGAATGATGAGGTTTCAAATTATTTACACATTATTTCGTTATTATCCTTGCCTCATCTTATCCTCCATTTCTAGTCTAGTTGACCTTTTATTTTTATAATATAAATGTTCTTAACAAGTATATAATATGTGATTAGATTGTTCAAAATGTATTTCGCTAATATATATCATCACATAGTTTTGATAATCTTCGTCGTCTTATTACACTCACGAAGCTTATAGAACAAGTAGGTCGTGGTTATGAAAACTGAATTAAAAGATTAAGTCGACCACATAAGTTGTTGTGTGATATATATGAAATAGTAGATGGAATACACCCATTAAGACATTAGATAAGAAAGACTGGTTCAGTCGAGTTCCCTTTTGGGAGGACTCATTTTCTAAAACCGTACAATCGCAAACATATATATATATATATATATATATATATATATATATATATATATATATATACTTATGTTTTCAGGATGATGATAATCATAATCATACTGATAATAAACTTCTGTTAGACATGGTAACAGGGAGGTAAGATAAACAAAGGTATTAAAACAAACATGGAAACTAATAATAGTTTGATTGTTCATGGCTTAAGTATTTGACTGAGACGGATCATAAGGTTGACATCAAATCAGCATTTATAGTGTTATACAAAAGCCTTCAAGGACGTATACTAAAGTTTATTGAAGCCTTGGCTATACGGAAATTGAACCCCCCTTTATGTGTTCAAAAACAATTTGTTTTTACACTTAACCTACCCTGGTAATACTGATTTATTTTTCAGAGTGGTTATCACATTTGTCTTTGTGTATTTTAATATTTTTTTCCTTTGTTATGACTTACCCTTAACCTGTCTAGTTGACCTTTTAATTTTCATATATATATATATATATATATATATATATATATATATATATGTTCTTAATAAGTATATATGTGATCAGATTGTTCGAAATGTATTGCGCTAATAATATCACATTAAACTTCGTCTTCTCGTTGCATTATCGAAATTTATCAGACTAATTGTTTTAAGCTTAAGTATTCATCAAAAGTATCATTGAGAATGGATGATTGAGCATGATAAAATAAAATATTGAAATTGAAATGAAATATAAACAGGACAATCATAGAAACAGAAATAAACCAATTGAAATAATCAGACTGTTCAAAGTTGACCAAAGAAAAATATAGTCCCACAATAAAATGGAAAATGGCCGTCCAGTGCGTCTAGGTTTTCCATGGTGGCCTAGCTTCAATTGACTCATGATCTCAATTATTGAAATAACTAATGATGTTAGAAAAGGCATATTGAATCCATGCAACAAACGTATTTCTTAATGATTTCCAATATGCAAATGTTATACTTCGTCAGTATATGACAGATATATTCATAAAATTATTTCTAATAACAAAGATATTGTTAAGTTTATCTTAAAACTACTTGAAATTCACATATTTTATAGATCACTTGTACTTATTATTTGACTTAACATTCACATCTGTAGTGATAAGCATAACTACTGGATCTAATAGCATTTGTCGACATATTCGGTTAATGTTCTGCGATGCATTCTAATCATTTTACCTACTCAATCTCGGTTGAAGGGAGGTTAGACTTGATTGATTGGTTCGACAAATAACTTTGAGAACTAATGGAAGTTACATATCACTAATTGAAATTACAAATTTACAACACCCGGTGATGAGATTTGTACAAAATTCTAGAAATCCATCAATTTATCTTGGGAATTTCTTCGAATCCATGCACTTCGCTATAGTTTGTTGCCTACGCTGTTTGATCAGAGCATTTCTCTACTGACATTGCTGATGTTTACAAATATATGTGTTTATTTAGGTGTTTTGTCAAGAGATTCCATGATTAGGAAGACACTTCTCACTGTAAACAGACATCAAACCATTAGTCTGAACGTGTCGTGTTCACTGTCTGGTCAGAAGACTGTGGGTTTCCTCTGGTTTGAGTACTGATGACCAATCTCAAAGAAGGTCGAAACACCAATCCAATGTTCGTTCAATTTGATCAGTTCTTCAGCTAATATATATACATATATTTATATATAGTTATGTATATACATAAATACCGTTGGAAATGCCAAACCTAATTCGATATCAAGTTGATCAACGTATCTTAAAAATGAGTATGAATAAATTCTGAAATGTAATAATCAGTCGATTTTGCCTTCCATTTGATCTTCATTGATTTTCGTATGAGAATGTGTTAGTTTGAATCACTATTCAAGAGGATCATTATCAAAGTTTGAGTTGAAAAATTCGAATAAATTGAGAATTGGCTAAATTATTATAAATAGATTAACATTTGTGTAATATACTAATAAGTAGAAAAATTACATTTTCTGACGTTTCGTGACTCAGTGTGAGCAAATTCTTACCAATACAAAATTAATACAACTTTTAATAGTACAGAGGAACACATTAATAATGTTAGGTACGGTCAATCAAAAAACAGGTCTGAACAAATCAACGTCATGTCATTACGGTCAAGGTGATTTATAAGCGACACATATGCAAATTTGTGTGTGTGTGTATGTGTGCAAGGTTAGCGATGAAAAAATGTGATCTTTGTTTTGAGAAAGGATAGAGCTTAATCTGTATGCAAGATAATAGTGTGAAATGTGAATAATTAATATCAAACATGGTAGTTTGGATAGATAGTCTAAATCGGATGTATAATGAAACCTTCTTTTCTAATGAAAGCAGTAGGGTTGAACATGGAAATAAGAACTTTCGTCTAAATTTGAACGAATAGTTTCACAATATTAGGGTGCCGAGTTAATGTGAGTCATTAAAGAGGAATAATATATATTTGTAAAATCTCAGCGAAAGAATTTGAAGTAATTCCAACGTTTCGCCTAGCAATCTGATCCAAGCTTTTTCAAGGAAAAAATAACCAAACAACAATATTATCGAATATAAATAAGTACATGGTTCTCTGGTTTACTGTATACTGAATAAGTCATCCAATCAACGTGAAGGATTTTTTATAAATATGTATTTGCATTAATATGTAAGAGACATGTTTATATGAAAATAATAAAGGTCAACCAAATAAAAGTTCAATTAAAAACAATCAAGGGGAGAGAAAGGATAAGAAATTGTCGTGTGGAAAGCCTCAACTACTCTCCTTTCTTTGTAATTGGAAAAATCTTTTTGTGATATTTTGATGTTTTTGAAATCGATTTGGTGGTTGTTGAAAATGGCGTGAACTGCTACTACCGATTTAATTTGAAGTCTATTCACTTCTACGGGATTATTAGGTGATCTCTTTGCATACCTAAGGTGTTCTTTGACTCCAGTCAGGATTTCGTGAGATGACTCTCAAATATAGAAGGCATCACAATCGACACAACCTAACTTGTAGACGCAGTTCCGTGTTAACATAAAGGGAATTTTTTCTTCTAGGCGAACTAAAGTATTCCGAAGTATGTTCGTTATTTTGTAATATACTTAAATTCTGTTTTGTTTTCAAATTCTCTGGAGTTCTTTTGTTGCGTTATGATAAAACTGAAGTACCAATCCATGCTATTTCATTCTAATTATTATTAGGCAGTGAAACGTCTCGTTTTAATACACTTATAATAATCTTACTAGAAAAATTATTAAATTGTAAGACACTAATTACATTCTTTTGTTCTTTTTGTTTATCCTCTTCCATTGTGATAATCTTGTTAGCTTGTCTAAAAACAAAAACACCTTACGCCTAGCATTTCGCGAGATGACTCTCCAATGGCTTGCAATACTTCACGTTTTTATGATTTACTTAAAATTCATAAACCGGACATCCCTCTAAAACGTATAGTAAACTTCACGAACACACCAACACATGAATTATCGAAATATCTGAGGACCATATTAAAGGCACTACAACTTACACAATATAATTAAAAATTCCTATGACCTTAAATACGAAGTATAGGAATTCATTATCGAAAAGAATAAAGTCATGGTAAGGTATGATGTTGTTTCATTATACACTAGTATCCCTATTGATAAATGCTTAGAATTCATTAGTGATTTACTAGAGAACGATAATACTCTTTCTGACAGATGTCTTTTAACCGTTAGTCTAATAATGAAATCTTTATTATTGAAAGTGCATCAAAACAAAACGTTTCACTGCCTAATAATGATTAGAATGATATACCATGGATTGGTACTTCAGTTTTACTATACGGCCATGGTACAACAGAACTCCAAATAATTTCAAAACAATACAGAATTAAAGTATATTACAGAACAACGAACACACTTCGAAATACTTTAGTTCGCAATAATAATAATGATAAAATGGTCGATTTTTCACATTAGGTCACATATAATTATCTCTATTAAGACTTATCATTCTCCTTTTATTAATCTCCATTGATGAGAACATTTCTGATATTATAATGTAAAATACATAGTCCGTATTTTTTTTAGAATAATCAATAGTATTTTTAATGGTTGAGATCATGAGTCAATTGAAGCTAGACCACCATGGAAAACCTGTTGTAAGCACTGGACGGCCGTTTCGTCCTATTGTGAGACTCCTCAGTAGTACGCATCCACGATCCTGCCTAGCGAAATTCGAACCCAGAAGCTATCAGTCTCGCGAGCGACCGCTTAACCACACCAGACCACTGAGCTTGCCAACATGTCTAACTTCAACCAATCGACGAAATTGAGCCGTCCAGGGCTTCCAAGTTTTCTATGATGGCCTAGCTTCGATTGACTCATAATCTCAATTATTAAAATTATTATAATATCCATAAAAACCCTTTCAATAGCATTTTACTTTCTTCGTAAGCAGTTGATAAAAGACCACTTAATAAAATAATTTCATGTTATCCTGTTACCTGTTTTCTGCTTGTTTATTCAATAACACTGAACAACTCATTGCTAATCGAATTGATTTCATTTAAAACTATTTAAGAAAGTAAATGTTTACAAGATACTAAAAACTTTTAATCTTAACATTTCTATATGGAAAACATGCAAACAAACAAACCTATAAGCTAACAATTGTTCACAATTAGATCGTCATCAGGATTTACTCTAATAAACATGAATAGTTATACGAAAACGTTGAACTAATCAAAGTAATTTGAGTCTATAATCACAATGAAATAGAATAGGTGACCTCACATAAGATGTAAAAGTACAAGTTGATAGTAGGAAGACCAGTGTACTGATAGTAGTAAGAATAATAAAAAAAAAATACTATAACAAAAGCGTTATCCATAGTTCAACATTGGAAATAGAAGATCAAACGTGGATAAATAGACTTCATCATAAAACATTAAAAAACCATGACGATCTAAATGAGAACAATTCTTCTAATTTTCACAATTGGTATCTTTAATAAACAAACCTATGATTACAACTCATTTTATATAAACAGTTTTTGAGTATTGACTTAAATAGATAATGTAAAATACTAGTGACCTAGACAACTAAAATGACAAATAACTTTGGTTAATTGATCATAAATTTTTTGTTTCTTTGTTAAAAGAAAACAAACCATTAATTTTAAAAAAAATGTCTATCATTTACTATCATAGCTTTAAATTGAATTTCAATTGACAACAAAGAAATTGTAAACAAAGTTCAAAGGATTGGTTGAAGTTAGACATTAACATCATTGGATACCGGCCGGCTCAGTGGTCTAGAAGTTAAACGCTCGAGCGCGAGACTGATAGGTCTTGGGTCATAGATGCGCACTACTGAGGAGTCCCACAATAAGACGAAATGACAGACTAATGCTTCCAGGTTTTCCATGGTGGTCTAGTTTCGATTAACTAATGTTCTTAACCATTAAAATTACTACAATATCCACAAAAACCCCTCTGATATGATATCGATTGAAGTGATTATATTTTTGAATGATTTACAAACAGATGAAATCCCATTTGGTTCTTATTGTTTGCTAAGTCAAGTATTGGGATTACGAATAGAATTTGAGTATAATTTATTAAGAAGACTGAGTTTATCAGGCTTTGAACTATCTGATGAAACACTAACTTATTGAAGAGGGCTGGGATACTGTCCCGTTGCTAAAACCGAAGCAGGTGGTTTACTTATGGGGCCACACTGGCAGCATTCGACCTAAAGGTCTAATCCACAAGGCAACGTCAGGAGATGCAGTCCCATGATAGCCAGTGATAAGACGCTATTTGTTTCCTTAGGATCCCGGAGCTTATGTGCACCATCCGTTTGTAATCAGTGTTTTCCAACTCCCCTAGGCGGGTCCTCAATATCGACCAACCTGGTTAAAGCTCCAGGCATTCGCTTTTCGTCCTCTCAATTTCGCAAACAACACCCTCACCACGGAAATTCAGTGAGTAGAACTTCCCTGGCAGTGGTTTTATGCGCGTGGCCATATAATAGCATTTCATGAGGAATAGTTGACTCTTCCAACTCTCGGCCGTACCAGGGTATTTAGGGGCTGTACACATAAACTTGGAGTTTACAGTGTAAATACAAAAACTCATAATGTATAACGATGAGTTGATTAAATTGAATGAAAAAGTAAACACTACTACTCACCATCTGTTCATTTAGTATGAAACAAGATTACAAAGAATTTTGTCTACTTAATCTACTCATAAGTAATTTAAGTCAATATAAATAGTTGTTTACAATTACTGACATTCTTATTCTATGTTGCTTTTATGAGAATCACTTATTTGCTTTTTTCTTAAGAATCATTTTAGTGATTGTATATATAAGTATGGTCACGCAAGCGGTATATTAATAATAGTAATGATAATAATGGTATTATTATTAACAGTAGTAGTAGTAGTAGTAGAATAGGAAGAACTATATTTTGTTTACGGAAATATTATTGATTTTTTCCTGGAAAAATTCGTCCAACAATAATATATGATAGAAAAAAAGATGTATTCAAAGTGTGTGTCACTAGTTTCCAAGATGAAGTTTGAGTGTAAGGGTATGAAAAAATAATAGAAAATTATAATCTCAAATACAGTAATACCCGGTTGGTTTTCTTTTGACCATACAGTTGACAATAGTTAGTGATAAAAATTACATTTAAATATTGGTTTGCAATTACAACAAATTTTCTGTTGGTCAAGATGTTTCTTCAGTGATTTGCTTTATTTAGATCAACTTAGTGGTCATATATATATGTTTTACTTGAACGCTTAAACATCAACTTCCTGATCGTCCTTAGTTCCCGTGAAATATTCCCTTCTTAAACTCCGAGTAGAAAATCAAATGCTGAAACTATGGAAAGGACTATACCCTAGAGATTATTTAAGTACAAAAAAACAAATAACAGTATACGATTGAATATGACATGTACAGTTATTAACTCATATATGAGAATTCACCTCAAGTCATTTTTACCATAATGATATCAACCAAACTATTCAAAACATGTACATACATAATTGTCAGAAGGGATTTTGTGGAGATTTTAGAAATTTTAATAATTAAAATCATGAGTCAGTTGAAGCTAGACCACCATGGAAAACCTGTCGTAAGTACTGGACGGCCGTTTCATCCTAGTATGGGACTCGTCAGCAGTGTGTGTTCACGATCCCGTCTCCAGTGATATCCAAAATCTCCTATTCTAATGATATCATCTTATTCGATAACTGATAGGCTACACATTTTTTTTGAATTTTTAACATTCAGTAAACAATACAGAAAATAGAATCAGAAAAAAGGTGAATAAATTAGTTAATTTTACTTTCTTCTTCTAATTGACAAAAATAATTCTAATGTTTGAATTCATGAGTTGATCTAAGCTAGACTACTATTGAATACGATTGTTTCGTTTTAGTACATGACTCCCTACCAATCCACATCCACGGTCCTGCACTCGGGACTTAAACTTAGGACCTTTGGTCTCGATTGAGAACGCTTTACCTCTACACCAATGAGCTAGCTTAGATCGACTCATGAATTCAACTAGGAAAATTACTACAATCTCCACAAATCCTCATACTGTATTTATTGTAAGTTCAGTTGTTCATGTATAATATACAAAATAGAACTGATTAATAAATCAAACTAGAATGATACAATTATGTATAAATCAATTGAAAATAAGCACTGATATTAAACTATAGTGATACACACATTTACTATTCACTGATTTATGCTGTAAATTAGTGTAACAAAGATACATTGATGAACTGTATAAAAAAGAAATATCTAAATGTGTTTTTAAATGTACATGAATTTGTTTATGTGGAAGCTCTAAACTCTAAATCCTACGAGGCGGGATCGTGGATGTGCACTGTTGAGGAGTCACACAATAGGACGAAACTGCCGTCCATTGCTTACAACAGGTTTTCCATAGTGGCCTAGCTTCAATTAACTCATGATCTCAACCACCGAAAATACTAATAATCATTAATTTTCTGGGATATATAATCCTGGTATTCAAATCAGTAGATACCATGTCCAAATTTAAGAATGAATTACTACGTGTGCAAAAACGTTAACTTATAAATTAAAACAAAAATTATTTCATTATAATCCAGTACTAAACACAACAACTATTTATTCACATTTTAAGATCCTTAACAAAGCTAAGTATAATAAGTTGAATTTCCCTGTACGTGTTATTAAACGTCATTTGATTTCATTACAGATAACTGATTACGTAATGATTATTTTACACAACTAGAAGAGGCAGCAAATCGTCAGTTCCAGTTAGTGAATCCAAATATATTCATATTTTCAGGTTATACATTGTGTTGCCGAAATGATTGCCACAGATATGAAGTAATAAGTAACTTAGATACAAGGCTTGTATTCTACAATCATCTATTTTTTTTTTCAAGTGGCATTTAATCAAATTTATTTCTATGGTAAATATTTTGGATCTACATAAATTACTTTCCTTAGACAAATAAATTTTGTTCTTGATTAGATGTGTTATATTTTGACACTAGTTTATGTTGCAGGGCTTACGTCAATAATTTGATTTCCACAGTATCCATTAATTAACAACGTTGTAAGTCATTGTTCTTCTTTTTTTTCGATCAAGATTCTATTGATTATTTTACTACTTAAAACGTCTATTACATAATTCCAAAATAAACATTCTCTTTAACATTCGAGTATGCATTTTCGAACACTAACCCAATCACACTTGATGGTGAAACTCTGGAAGATGTAGAATCCTTCACATACCTGGGAAGCATCATCCATGAACAAGGAGGATTAGATGCATACGTAAAGGTAAGGATTGGCAAAGTAAGAGCCGCATTCCTACAAGTGAAGAACAAATGGAACTCAAAACAACTTTCAACCAATATCAAAGTCAGAATCTTCAATACGAACGTCAACACAGTCCTGCTGTACGGAGTTGAAACTTGGAGAACTACTACAACCATCATCAAGAAGGTACAAGTATTTATAAATAGTTGTTTACGCAAGATACTCAACATCCATTGGCCGGATATTATCAGCAACAGCCTTTTGTGGGAGAGAACAAACCAACTTCCAGCTGAAGAGGAAATTAGGAAAAGACGATGGGAATGAATAGGACATACATTACGCAAATCATCAAACTGCATCACAAGGCAAACCCCAACTTGGAATCCTAAAGGAAAGAGGAAAAGAGGAAGGCCAAAGAACACAATATGTCGGGAAACAAAAGCAGATATGAAAAGGATGAATAACAACTGGGAAGAGCTGGAAAGGATTTCTCAGGACAGGGTTGGATGGAGAATGCTGGTGGGCGGTGTATACTCCTTCACGAGAAGTAAAAGGAGTAAGGAAGTAAGTTAACATTCTAGTTATATTGATAGAAACGGTATAGTGAAGAAGTTAGCATTAAAATGATTATTGTACTACATTTAACAAATAATCTATGAATATTCAACTTGCATTCTACGGTTGATGTTCAAACTGAGACTTGAAGAATTCTATTAATTCTTCAAACGCCAAACCATTATGTACTGAGTTACTGAGTTCAAGTAGCTATTAATATATCCAAAGAGTAGTAAGTTATTAGTAAGGATATTCATTTTCGCTTTCGTCGATGGATCTGTTTAATTAGTTAGACTGACTTTGTACTTTAAAATAATAAACACCTCTATGTTTATTTACTGCCTTGTTATGCTTATACGCGCACAGAAGGAAAAGCCCAATGTAAGTAAGTATTAAAATTTACATTGTCAGTGGATATATGGTAAATAAGATCAAGGTAATGAATGTTATATTACTGTTGAATCTGAATCTGAAATTTCCAAAAACAACTATATGATAATCCAAACATACCTTATTTATGAAACAAACTATAAGAATTCATGTTAATAAGCTACAATTTCCACATATGAACGAAGTTTATGCTATATTACTGGATGATGTTATTAAATCACACACCCATTTCGAATGGATGCATACTCTGTAGTATGAAGATAAAGAGTTCATCGACGGATTTGAGGGTCTTGTGTTCAATCCCCTGCGGGCCGTGTATACGCTTTACTGAGGAGCACCATGCTCGGATGAAATATCTGTCCACTATATCCTGAATTCTAATGGTTGGAATGCATATAACATTCACTGTGGTTAATCTTTTTAATTGAATTCAATCACTTATTAATGTTATGCCTTATGCCCTATTGACGATACTGCCAATTAGTGAACAGTGAATTATCGACCGGACCAATGACGTATAAAACAAGTGCGAACGGACTACAGTCCTTATCGGTCCCGCTCCCCCACGTAGCCCTGCCTGTTAAGTCCAGAAACACCAATCTTAGCCTCTGAGATATGAATCCTATATTTCGGACATACTGGGTTTATATACAAACCAAACAGATTACATCGTACCATAAAATAGGAAACAAAATTTGGCCAAATGTGGCTATGAATGTGGGAGACTGTAATTAATAGACTGGGTATAACTCAAGAATGGTAAATCATATGAGAACAGTTCATAAGTCAATATAAAGCTTATGATAAGAGGGACACGAATATGACTAGTTTAGTTACTTAACAATTATACGATAAAAAGTATATGTATAGTAATAGTCCAGAAATTGATTTCAACGGTTACCGTTCATTATTCTCATTCGGATATAACAATCAATTAATAGTTTCGTCAAAGATCTTAATGATTGTAAACTTTACTCTTTCTATATCATGGATGATTTAGTATTAAAGAGTTTGTTTTTGCAAATAGCATAAAAATGTTTATCACTTTATAATTGATGTAGATTTTTGCATAGAAAGTAACGTCTAATCAAATGAAAACTTACAATATATATCACTTTCTATCTAGTATAGTGAGAATGTAAACTGTTCACATAAAACTACACAAAACTATTAAAGTAAACACACATACTTATTAGTCTATTTGACATTTAGATAGGAAAGATTTTTTCACTGATGGTTTTTACGGTAACATTCCTTCATAACTTCAATAGAAACTGTTAAATATCAAAGCAAAAAATATACACGAATCGTATAAATTGAAGTGTGAAACCTTAACAGTTCGAAGAGAAGTTATACTTCAGATTTTATTATTTTTATTTATTTATTCATTTATTTGAACACATAAATCTTGGTACAAAATGGGCACCTAATACATATGTGCCACATAAATCACTTGATTTGTGTGTGGGATGTGATACTACCTCGGTACCAAGATCGAGGAAGGTGGTTTTATTAAGGGACCACATCCGGAGCCTTCGACTTAAAGGTCTAATCCAAAAGGCAGTGAAGCAACGTCAGGAGATGCAATCCCATGGTAGCCAGTTACCAATAATTGGTTCATACTCCATTTATTCCTCCAGGATCCTGGAGCTCATGTGCACCATTGGTTTGGAATCAGTGTTTCGCAATTCCCCTAAGTATGGACTCTCTGTGTCAACCAACCCGGTTAATGCACCGGACATTCTTTCCGTCCTCTCAATTCCGTAAACAACAGTAATGCCGCGAGAAGTCAGTGAGTAGGTCTTCCCTGGCGGTGGCTGTTTACGCCTGACCGCGTGAGAGGATTTGGAGAGGGAGAGCTGACTCTCCCCACTCTTGACCGTATCAGGGCATTTGGAGGCATTCTTTTCAATAGTTCATAGTTGACCTTTATTGATTGTCACATCAAATACCCTGAAATATAATACGTTAACAGAAGTTGGAAACGTAAATAATTGATTGTCAACTCACTAATGTAAGTATAAAGAGCCAGCTATGAGACGTAAATGTCTTATATCTGCTCCTTGTAGCGATTATGCGTCTATGTGTCCACGAAATAACTCTTCAATTCAAATCATGAACCGATTTAAGTTAGACCACCATGGAAAACCTGAAAAGTCGTTTCATTTTAGTATGAGACTCCTCAGCAGTGCACATCCACGACCTCACACTCCAGAATCGAACCCAAAACCTGTCTCGCTCATTTCCTTAGTATCTCTTTATTATAAATGATTATCTGGTTAAATTTAACCCGTGAACAAAAAGACAGTAAATTAAGAAAATATCTTTCAGATTATTTCCACTTAGAAAGTTTTGATTCTTTATGCATCTTCCTTCTTTGTATGTACACACACACACATGTGGCCATAACAGAATAAGATAACATGAAAGCAAATTATGTATGACAATAAAGGTTTCCATAGAAAAATATATCTCAAATTTATTGCATTATTATGTATTATTAATATGAGTTTTATTATCCTTTCCTATTTCTCAATTATTTTATCCAATAATAAACAATTCATCAATTAGTTATATAGAATGAATTTCTTCTAATTTGACAATACTTTGTTCTCTATAGAAAACATACATGAAACGATAATGTATAGATGAATTGTTCTATTGAAATATAACTTCTTATTGTTACATGAATTAAATATGATCACGTATGTACAATGTTGTAACTATACAAAGAATAATGATAATGAATGACTTACATTTCAATATCACGTAATTGTATAGTAAAACAGAGGATAACTCAACAACAACAACAACAACAACAACACAATCATATACAGAATATTAGGTAATGCTAAATAGAATGAAGGTTAGTAAAGAAGAATATGGTAGATGTAAACTTTTACAAATTGTTGAGAAAATTGTAAGAAAACTGTTATAACGGTTGGTTTTCCAACGTTTACACGTATGGGACATTAATTTACATTGGACGAATATCGGTGGGATTATAATTTATGGACGACCTTTGAGCGACGCCAAAGTGACCTCGACAGTGATGACCTGATAACTAGGACCAAATGAAAGTTATAAACCAGTGTGAGGAATTACAATTATGAATTACAGTTGATGGTTATGGTTGGGAATGAGATTTAGGGTTTTCATCACGAACTGACATGAGCTATAATGCCAAAACTCTATTTAGCCAAATGGATGAGTGAATTTCGCGCCAAAATCCAAGACCTGTTATCTTACACCTGACTGGTTCGTCCATAAATTATAGTCTCGCCATCTCATCAGTAGTAAGGTCGTGAGTGACTTTCAAAATGTATTTCTATGAAATTTCTTGCAACCATTTAAATTACTACACCAACTGTATTTTATGACTAGGGAAATTCAGCCAAACAGTGAATACAATAGAAAGTAACATAAATATCTATATTATCTTACTATACCAAGATAAAGTTTACAATTAAAGTGAAGCGAAGAGATATTTTCCTAATCAAGTCCCTACACTAATATACATAAGTTTTACGATTAAGTATTAAATCAAAATATTGCTATGTAGAGTTGAAGGTCTCATATGAGACTGGAGGTTTGCCATTGATATTGTGGATGGTTCGGCATTACTTTGGCAAGTTTTGCTGACTGTTCATGCAGAAAAATTGGTTAACTGGTTAACCGATTTCATTCATACTGGTGGTTGTTT